CTGTACTAATTGTTGGAATTCTTTTTCAGTCCAAAAATCATGCCATGAGCATTCATGCATTTGACCTTAATTCTGATGGTGTGCATGAGCTGATAACTGGTTGGTCCAATGGGAAGGTAAGTTTAAATAGCAGAGTTCAGGGATAATTCAAGGTAATAATTGAGGTGTCTTGACTATATGACTTAGAATAGTAACATAGGAATATAAACTTGGGTTCCTTGGCTGTGTTTTCAAATTCAGCTTAATAGTCTTTCTACATTGTTTATTCCTGCTATAGTTGTCAAGAACTGCAGAGTAAGTGTCCTTTTTGTCTTGTAAACTCTGTTTGAGGGAAAATCTCCAGGGAAATTCTCTCTAAATTTCTTCTTTGAAGGACCAAGAATCCATCAATCAGGTCGATTCTAGGTGTAGGCCAGTAAAAAAAAAAAAAAAAGGAATTTTAATAACCTAATAATGAATAACTCTTTGAATAACTCTTTTCTAAGAAATCTTCAAAACTGGCTGAAAACTTAAAAGTAATGGGAAAAATCATGTTAATGTATTGTTTTCTGGGCTATAACTTCAAAATAAAATCATTTTGCTTTCTTTCCTTTTTTAACTTCAAATGAGAATTTTCTACAGTCTTTTGGCAAGTCAGGATTATCTTGTTAGAAACTAAGCAGCTGCCAGATCTCCATGGATACCATTTGGCCTAGCTTTCTTATCTGTCAGTGTTGGGTTGCCTGAAGGAGATCGACTAATTCCTCTCTTTTCCTCTTTGATTTTTCTTTACTTTTGGCCAGCACCTTGTAGCCTTCCTTTTGTGTTATGTGAAGAACAGATTCTAAAAAGCTGTTATGTTGGTTCCTGCTTATCCACTTAGTTTTGTCTTTTGGTGTGGGTATTAAAAATTATAAGAGAAGATTGTGTAGTTGCTTACTGAGAAATTTGAAAGTCTATAAAATGGATGTCTTAGTTCAGGCTGCTATGACAAAATACCATAAAGTGGTGGGTGGCTGATAAACAAAAGAAATTTATTTCTCCCAGTTCTGGAGGCTGGGAAGTCCAAGATCAAGGCACTGACAGATTTCGTGTCTGGTGAGGGCCACCTTCCTCATAGATAGTCGTCTTCTCACTGTAGCCTCACATGGTGGAAGGGGTGAGGAATCTCTCTGGGGTCTCTTTTGTAAGGGCACTAACCACAATCATGAGAGCTCTGCCCTCATGACCCAATCACCTCTCAAAGGCTCTACTTCCTAAGACCACCACCTTGGATGTTAGGATTTCAACACACCAATTTTGTGGGGACACAAACATTCAGTCCATAGCAGTGGACCATATTCTGGGGGCATATAATTTATTATTATTGGTTCAAGAGTTAGAAAATACTAGACTTGAGAAATTACCAAGTTACCTGAAAATATGACTCAACCTAGATGTTTTTATAGTTAAATGCTTTCAAAATTTTAAGAAATTTCTATTATATAATCTGTTTAAGAACATAAAAAAGATAAGAAAATTACACAGTTCATTATATAAATGGAAAAAACTGATTATCTACCCTTAACAGAAGTAGCATAGAAAAGGAAAATATACAGATTCAACTTTGGTAAAAATACAGGTCATTTGTTACTTCATAGGCTTTAGCATTCATAATGTTCAGCCCTCTGTGATGTTATTAATAGCATCTTGACTGTGATATACTGTAGACAAGGGGCAGGCTATAACCTAAATTACTTTAGTTTTTGATTGCAAAGTTTTGCCCAGAAAGATGTTTATGAAAAGGCAAAAATAGTGAATAGCATTGGCCCTTGAAATGATTGCTGTACCAGATTTTCTGGAGCTAGCCCTTTTGTTAAGAATACCTGTGTCCATGACTGGAACAAAATCATCATTTTAAGTGATTGTCATCCATTATCGTTTTTGAGATACATTTGTTTCTGATAAGTCAGTTATTTATTTGTCCTATCTCCTGAGAATAGGAGATTCAAAGAGGACAGGAGAGCTCTCTAAGGTATCTGAATAGTTTTTATGAGGAAGAGGAGCTCTTAACTGGGTTGTTGTAAAGGTTGTATGGTGGAAGATTGGGCTAACTCTGCATTTTCAAACTTCAGATATAAATATATATGTTTATATATAATGAAGATCAAATTTTTATATAGAGTTAACATTAATTGTGTCCTTTTATGTACCAGGCCCTGTTTTAAGTGGGTTACATATGTTAACTTCGTTAGGCCTCATTATTACTCTTTGAGGTGTAGTACCATTATCTTCCCTGTGCTCTGGTTATTGATCCCCAGATGAGAAGACCAAGCACAAAATGGTTAAGAAACTTGCCCAATGGCTCATGCCTGTAATCCTAGCACTTTGGGAGGCAGGGGTGGGAGGATTGCTTGAGTCCAGGAGTTTAAGACCAGCCTGAGCAACATAGTGAGACCCTCTGTCTATCTTTACAAAAGCACGCACTGTAGTCCCAGCTATTCAGGAGGATGGCTTGAGCCCAGGAGTTTGAGGCTGCAGTGAGCTATGATGACATCACTGCCCTCTATCCTGGATGACATAATGAGACCCTGTCTCAGAAAAACACAACAAAAACCAAAAAATAAAACTTGCCCAAGATCCCATAGATAGTTCATGGCAGAACTGGGTTCTGAACCTAAGCAGTTTAGCCATTAAGCCCATGGCCTTTTGCACTGTGCTGTATGTGCTCCATATACTGCCTCTCAGCCGACCTGCTTCTTCAAATGAAATATTGTATGAAGGCCAATATGGAAAACAGCCTTTATTTAAAAAGAAAAAAGCATAGATGGTTGGGGCCTCTTATGGTCCCCTTTGGCCCTAGCAGTCATAGGTATCTCCTGAGAAGTCATAGGACTTCATGGAATACTCTTGAAAACTGCTAGACTAAATGACTTCTAAAGCTGATTTTTATTTTTAAATTTTGTGGTTTTTGAAAAAACTGTAGCATAAGCAATTTTTTAAGTTCTTGTTTTATTTTTAGGTTGATGCTCGAAATGACCGAACTGGGGAGGTCATCTTTAAAGACAACTTTTCTTCTGCAATTGCTGGTGTTGTAGAGGGAGATTACCGGATGGATGGCCACATACAGTTAATCTGCTGCTCAGTGGATGGGGAAAGTAAATTGGGTTGAGACAAATCCTTGAAAAGTCAGACCAAGGTGGGAAGATCGCTTGAGGCCGGCAGTTTGAGACCAGCCTGGACAACATAGTGAGAGACCCCATCTCTACAAAAAATGAAAAAAATTTAGCCAGGCATGGTGATGTGAGTCTGTAGTCATAGGGGGGCTGAGGTGGGAGGACCACTGGAGCCCAGGAGTTTGTGGTTACAGTGAGCTATGATGGCACCACTGAATTCTATTCTGAGAGACAGAGTGAGATCCTGTCTTGAAAAAGAAAGAAAGAAAAGTCAAAATTTCAATTTGATTGGGTCCAAACACCAGGAAATTCCACTATTAAGTATTTGTATTGAGATCCTCTAGTTCTAATTAATCCATCTAAGTTGTGGAGATGAGAACTTAGGTTTTTGTTTTTAAGAATAGGTAGATGATGATGTAAAAGTAGACCCGGCTATACTTGGGATATTCTTCGGTTTAGTGAGGGTTTTTCCTTCTTTTCAGTACGGGGCTACCTGCCAGGCCCAGCTGAGATGAGGGGGAACCTCATGGACACCAGTGTAGACCAGGACCTGATCCGAGAGCTGAGTCAGAAAAAACAGAATCTGTTGATAGAGCTCCGTAACTATGAGGAAAACACCAAGGTAGGTCCTCATGGGAAGTGGAGTCGAAAAGTTACGACTGATGGGGAGGATTAGCAAATGTGGAAGAAGATTGAGATTGTCCGTGTTGGCCAGGGTCTGGGCCTTTTGCTTCAGCCTTTTTGCCAGTGTGAGCATTGAGAGGGTATATGTCCTTTGATTTTGGAATTCCACTTCCAAGTAACTAAACTATAGAAACATTTGCGTGAGTGTTCAAAGACATTTATTGCAGCACTATTTATAGCTATGAACAGCTGGAACCAATGTAAATGTTCATCAGTATGTGCTAGGGAATATTAAGCAGCTCAGAAGAACGAAGTATATATCCTTGGACTGCTAGGGAAGGGTATCTATGGTATTATGAAGTGGCAAAAAGCAAGAACAATAGGTATAGAGTATCTTTTATCTTTCTCAAAAACAATTAATACAAAAATGTACAATCACAAAAACTGTAGTTATGTGTACGCATGTGTATACCAGACTGGCGGGAGGATGAGCTGGGGAGTGGGAATTTAATTTTCCTGTTGTGCATTACTCTATTTGAATTTGCTGTACCAAGTGAATTTTTTTGTTACTTTAAAAGAACAATACAAAAAAAAAGTACAAGGCATGACGGGGGTACAGTGGACCATAACCATAGAAAAGGGCAAGGGTATTTTCCCACAGGCCAGACAGAGCAAGGGTGCACTGATGTGGTGAGTTCTCTGAATTCCAAAGAATCAGATTAATAAAATAAGATGATGGACACCCTGCCTTTTGAGGCTGAATAGCCATATTATTTAAAATTGACATTAGTTTGCTGTTTTGATGACCCAGTTGGAAGCAGGCAGGTGTTTTGCAGGCCGAACTGAGTGGTCCACTGAATGAGACTGATGGGCAACGGGGCATCATCCCAGCCAACACCAAGCTCCACACCGTCCTCTCAGTCAATTTGGGCAACGAGACTCAAGCTGCTCATGCAGAACTGTGCATTTCCACTTCTAATGGTAAGAAATTACTGACAGGTGGTGTTTGTAGGCACCTGCACCATCTTGGAGTAGTTCTTGAACTGTTTTCCCTCTTCCTGCAGACACCATCATCCGGGCAGTGTTGATCTTTGCAGAGGGAATTTTTGCAGGTGAAAGCCACGTTGTACATCCAAGCGTTCACAACCTCTCCAGCTCCATCCGCATCCCAATTACACCTCCCAAAGATGTCCCTGTGGATCTGCACTTGAAAATCTTCGTGGGTTACAGAAGCAGGTGACCCTTTGCAAATCACAGTCCTTTTGAGACAGCATTTAGACAAGAATCACAATGTTTAGCTTTTCTATATGTCATGGATTTTATGGGGCTTGAGAAGCTATTTAATGGTTCTGTCCACCCAGTCAAGATTTCACATGACCTTCTATTTCCCTAATTTGAAATCTGTAAAAATAGAGAAAAAGAAAAAAAGCGTAAGTTTAAGATGATTATTTTCTATTTTTAGTTAGATTATCTCATCACAAAAGTTTAAAAAATATGTTTAATTGATAATTTGTCAACTTATAGTTTTGACTGCTAAGACTACAAGGCTTAGGATGCATCTTTGTATTAGGAAGATGTGTGTGTGTGTGTGTTGTATAAATAAAACTTCAAGTGGTGAAGAAAAACTGCTTTGTGAATGGACAATAAAAGCCTTTTCACATTTATTTTAGGTTTTTTTTAAACCCTTAGTGCATGCACGTGTATATGTACATTCATGTTATCTCTAAACTTCAAACCTAATACGTTACCATAGTACTTTAACCCACAAATGTTTTAGGGTTTTTTTGTCTTCAGTGAAAACCTTAAATATCAATTGATGACCTAGGTAGTGACTTTATTTTCTGCGCCTTGCACTTTGAAATAACATTCTATACCAAACAATTCTCTTGTGTTTCACCGGTTGGCCATAGCACCCAGTTTCACGTATTTGAATTGACAAGACAGCTGCCCCGATTCTCCATGTATGCGCTGACCAGCCCAGACTCTGCCAGTGAGCCACTCAGTTACGTGAACTTTACCATCGCAGAACGGCCACAGCGGGTGAGAGCCTTGCTTTTTTCTTTCAATGCTTTTGCATTGTAGAATCCTTTAGATGTTATTTTATAGAAAGGGGGAAATACATGAATGTATTAAGTTGGTAGCAGCATATATGATATGAAAGAATTATGTAACTTCCAGTTGGCTTATAATCTGTATTAAAAATATTGCTCAAATATCTTCTTTCACTTTAGTTATAGGTGAATTCTTAAGAGTTTTTAATTTCTCTCTTTCTCTTGTTACGTACGGTCTTAGTGTGGTTGTCCTGGCCTAGTATTTCAAGAGGAACCTGCATCAAGATGAAAAGAGAATGAGACTTAGAGCTAGGAATAGTTTTGGGTTCAAGTGCTACCTTGACTATTATAATTAAATTGTTAGTGATCTTGGGGAAGTCCCCTCACCAGTCTGAGCTCGATTTTCTTATCTATAGGTGAGGCTAGTCTTGCCCACCTCCTTGGAGGACCCTGAGGATTATCTGACAGTACCTTGTAAAGTTTAAAGGACTAATATCAGTGGACTTTAAGTTTGGCTGAGCTTCAGAATTCTTAGTGAGGCTTTTAAATCATGTATTCTCTCAGACCCCTGCCTGGCCTGTGGAACCAGAAATTCTAAAGGTGGGCCTTCTTAAAAGGCCTCGTGAGTGGTTCTTATGTGGAACCTGTGATGCAGACCACTGTAAAGTATTATTATTAGTAACATTAAAACTTATTCTTTACATATTGTGTGGATATAGCTCTGACTGTGATATATGCACTTCATTTAATGTTTTTTAAGGAATAGAATGGAATAGTTTTAAGCTATTGTATAATAGACTTAGCATCATACCTGAATCATTTATACATTGCATATAAGATTATGTCTAAGTAGAAAATTCTTTAAAATCATGCCTACTGTGGGGTCAGGCATAATTATGAATGTTACTTAATGTGTGTGTTGGGGGGAAAGGGGGTGTGATTAATGTTTTCTTGGTGCGGGGTGAAATATAACTCTTTTTTTTTAACCAAGTAGTAACACTAGAAGAAAGGAGAACTCTTCCCTCAAGAATGGCTGCACTTTAAAAATGGAAGCTCATTTCATTGTGTTCATTTTTAAGGTTGCTATGTGGCTCAATCAGAACTTTCTGTTACCGGAAGACACTAACATTCAGAATGCTCCATTTCAAGTGTGTTTCACATCCTTACGGAATAGTGGTCATCTGTATATAAAAATAAAACTTAATGGAGAGGTAATGTTTAATGTCATGGGGCATAGATTTCTCATGTAGTATTTACTATTCAGTGCAAAGTGAGGTGGGGGACACCAGTATCAAAGTCACAAAACCACATGTTTCAATTTAGTCTGTTAGTGTTACCATCTTAAACGCTGGGGTATAATCTATAACAGAGGTTTTCTGTTTCCATCTCTCCTTCCCTTCTCCCCTTCCTTATCTAATTTGGGAAGGATTGGGAATACATAGGTGAACAAAATCATTTTCATTGTTTGAGTGATTTTGTCATTTAATTTATAAGACAAGAGGATTGAACTTTTTGCCGGCTGCTGGAAATAATGAATGCAGTTTATAATTTTCTTGAGGACTAAACTTTATCTTGTGTATCACTACATGTAAATATATGCTCAATAATTGTTTCGAATGTGGAGAAGGTACTGTTTCAGCTAAGTTTGTCTAATATCTGAGGATGCTAAACTTGTCCTATTTTCTCTTTGCATAGATCACTCTCAATACTGATGATATTGATTTGGCTGGTGATATCATCCAGTCAATGGCATCATCTTTTGCTATTGAAGACCTTCAGGTAGAAGCGGATTTTCCCACCTATTTTGAGGAATTACGAAAGGTGCTAATTAAGGTGAGGGCACCTAGTGGATACATTTATGAGAATATGGTAGTCTAATAATGTTTGCTATGTTTCCCTTAGGAGATTAATGATAACCTAAGTACAAATGTACTTATGATAGTGATCTTTTAAAGAATTTTCATAAATCTTGAAACAAAAATTGAACTAGTATTGGAGAGTTCACCAGTTAAAAGATTTCTTCTATAAAAGTAAGTGGTTAGTTCCTGACCACCCTGCTTTCTTTCTTTCTAGATGCTTTAAAAAAAAGTCATATTAACGTTTTCCTTTGCTAGTTCTTGATCTTAATCTGTCGTATCTACTTTTAGTCTTAGGTCTTTCCAAAAACCCAAATTTAAAACAAGAAATCAAAATAAGGAGGGTTGTGATTGGCTCCAAAGTATAACAGCATTCCTACTGCAAATCCCTAAAATGCTAATATGTGTGTTGCTAGGGCTCCAGTGCTAAGGTATGAGAAGGGTCTACATGGAGTATCATATGGAATATTGGAGGCAGCATAGACTATTTGTTGAGGAGATGAAATAACGGGAAGTAGCTAAGTTGGTATAAGTGAATAGGGGAAAGAAAAGGGCCTCTGTATATGGTAAACAGTGTCTTCTCAGTCTGTCTAGTTTTCAAGATGTTTGTGAGGCCATTTTAATTCCTGAGTGTTCATGGTCTCCAGGTGGATGAATATCATTCAGTGCATCAGAAGCTCAGTGCTGACATGGCTGATAATTCTAATCTTATCCGAAGTTTGCTGGTCCGAGCTGAGGATGCTCGTCTGATGAGGGACATGTGAGTATTTACCATGGTTAGGACAGTTGCAAGGTTAAAAACGTGAGCAATATGGAATAGTGACTCTCAGATGTTTCTAGGAGGAGTGTAAATTGATGAAATGACTTTGGAAAATAACTTGGCATTATCAGTAAAGTTGAAAATGTGTGTACCCTATGATTCACTAATTCTACTCCTGCTTTATAGCCTAGAGAATCTTGTGCACATATAAACCAGGATATTGGTACAAGAATATTCATGAAGGCACTGTTTATAAGAATCCCAGAGTGGAAATAATTCAAACTAGCATCAACAGTATAATAAATAAATTGCAATATATTTTGCACAATGGACTACCACATGGCAGTGAGAGTGCATGAATCTTCATGACTCATAACAACATGGACAAATCTTGAAAATATAATGAAGCCTTAGAGAAGTAAGACTTACAATAATATGTACAAAGTGCTTCCATTTATATAGTTAGGAAAAAAGACTAAACCATATTGTTTGGGAAGCATGCAATAAGTAAAAATATAAAGAAATGCAGGGAAGAGATTATGATTATTCCATGACAGGGTTGCATATGCAAAGCAACCACCAAATGCCAAAGGAGCCAAAAACCAAAGAATGAGGCAGACAAATCCAGCTTGTCTGTGTAAGATGATTGATTAGTGGGACTTACAGGTAGAAGCATGGTCTTGGGCGGCATAAGACAAGATCACTCACTATATTGCAACCCTCCAGACCTAGGGTTTATTTCTTGGGGAAAAGTATATGTGCTCTGGAGGAATGTGTGGGTTGCTTCATCACAGCCTATGATGTATGCAGCGACATCAAGGGTTGTTTGGGAAGAAAGGTGGAACTTACAGTGAATAGGTGTTTCTACATTAAGAGTAATAGTCAGCTGGACATTTTGGAAGCATTCCCAGACTCAGGGTTACTCAGGCATATTAGCATTTTAAAAAATTGCTTTTGTCCCCCCAGTCTTATAAGAGACTATTTTCTACTAGAGGAGGAGGACTGTGTTCAGAAAGAATATATTTTTTTTCATAGTTAATACTTACTGAATATTTATTTTAAAAATTCTATATTGCTGGTCATTAGATTCCAGATATTTGAAGGTTTGAGGACAGGTTGTTTTGCTAGAATAATAGTGCAATGATATGTGTGTTTATTTATATATATTTGCACATTTGTCTTTTCTTAGGATACATTCATGAAAATATAATGAATCAGATTTATTCATATTAAAATTTCTGGGCCAGGCGCGGTGGCTCACGCCTGTAATCCTAGCACTCTGGGAGGCCGAGGCGGGCGGATTGCTCAAGGTCAGGAGTTCAAAACCAACCTGAGCAAGACCCTGTCTCTACCATAAAAATAGAAAGAAATTAATTGGCCAACTAATATATATAATATAAAAATCAGCCAGGCATGGTGGCTCGTGCCTGTAGTCCCAGCTACTCGGGAGGCTAAGGCAGGAGGATCGCTTGAGCCCAGGAGTTTGAGGTTGCTGTGAGCTAGGCTGACGCCACGGCACTCACTCTAGCCTGGGCAAGAAAGCGAGACTCTGTCTCAAAAAAAAAAAAAAAAAATTTCTGTTATCCCTGTGCCATTTTACCCTCCCACCTTTCCTGCCTTCTACCACCATTGGATGAATGGATTTTGTAATTTAAAAAAAAATTAATAAATACAATTTCTGTTAATATGCACCCAAAAGATTATTCCAGTTTCTATTATTCCCTTTCTTATTCCCTTTCTAACCCTAGTTTTTGAGAGTGACTGTTTCCCCCAAATCCTGACCAATAGTGAGCTTTGTCAAAATTTTCAATCAGTAATTATCTGGTAGATGAAGGATATCTCACTGTTTCATTTTTTCTTTGTTGACTTCTAAAGTTGAGCACATCTACTTATATTTATTGGACATTTGCATTTTTTCTGTGAATTCAGTTTCATATCCTTTTTCCGTATTTTAATTGAAGTGCTTGTCTTTTGTTTATGTTTTTGGTCTATCCTATTTTAAAATGCAAATATTCTCCCATTTTCCATTTATCTTTTTTTTTTTTTTTTAAGTCAGAGTCTCCCTCTATTGCCCAAGCTAGAGTGCTGTGGCATCAGCCTAGCTCACAGCAACCTCAAACTCCTGGGCTCAAGGGATCCTACTACTTCAGCCTCCCGAGTAGCTGGGACTACAGGCATGCGCCACCATGCCCGGCTAATATATATATATATGTATATTAATTGGCCAATTAATTTATTTCTATTTATAGTAGAGACAGGGTCTCACTCCTGCGCAGGCTGCTTTCGAACTCCTGACCTTGAGTGATCCACCTGCCTCGGCCTCCCAGCGTGCTAGGATTACAGGCATGAGCTGCCACACCTGGCCCTCCATTTATCTTTTAAACTTACTTTTATTTATTTTTGTGTTGTGTTTTGCCATGTGAGACATTTTCAATTTGTATGTAAACGCATGTCTATCCATTTTTTTCACTTATGGTTTCTGTCTGTGTTCAGTTGCTTAAAACAGCTTCTTGGCATTGAAAGTATAAAAATATCTTTCTAGTACTTTTACAGTTTAACATTTAACATTAAGGACCAAAATCATTAGGAATACAACTGGTGTAAATGATAAAGTCATGTTGCTTATTGGCATACTCACAAGGCCAAGTTTCGTGGATGGGTAAGTTTGGATGATGAAAGATAATAACAGAAGATGATCCTGTGTGAAATTTTGGTTCAAAGCATGATAATTCTGGCCCCAAATTAATTTTGGTTTGCCAAAGCTAACAAATAAAAATACAGGACACTCAGTTAAATTTGCATTTCAGATAAACAACAGTTTCTTAGTTTATGTCCCCTACTGTATTTTATCCGATAAAACAAACTAAGCAAAATAAAGAAGTATGATTTGTAATAACTCTTCAATAAGTGAAAGTCATTGTAATATTAGAATTTGAAATCATAATAGGGATTCATACCTCACAAAGAAGAAGAATGGAAAGTAGACATCAGATGAAGTGGGTGAGATGAAGGATGCTAGAACATGCTCACCCCTGCTTGTAAGAGCTACTTATGCCCATCTCTTGCCATCTCCACATTTAGTGATGTCAGGCTTGAAAATTAGCCATGGTGAGTGTATTTACAACACAGACATCCCCAAATGCTGAAATCAATTTTTTTTTTTTTTACTCCAGGGAGCCAGTTATTAGCAGTAGAGACAGCTGACAGGGAAGTCTGGAGAAGACACCAAATATTAGTACCTTTACTTACTTTGGGGTTTGGCCTAGCTTATGCCTGGCCAGTCATAGCATCTGTCATTCATGGAACAGTGGGCTGAGCCTCAGGTTTCCCAGGAAGAACACACTGAGAAGCTTCTGGGATGCTGACAATGTCCTGTTTCTTGACCTCATTAATAAGCATTTGTTCTATGAACTTTCCAAATGTGTAACATTTTACAATTTAAAAAGTTAAAAATAAATATGTGCATGTCTACCTTCATGCTTGCTAGGATGCAAAATTCATCTTGGCAATAAAATGTACTGAAACTAATTCAGTAAAATAGTTAACAAGTGATAACGAAGTTTATGTGTGTATATTAGAGACGAGTTCACTCAGAGTGCTGGTTGTATTTTTTCCTGAAAGACCTGAATTATTGGTGAATAATTAATGTGGTCTTGTTCAGAAGTAAATGATTTTTTAAATAATTGTATTGTTGAAAATTTCAAACACATACAAAAGTAGATTGAATATTATAATGATTTCATATGTATTAGTACCAGCCACGGAGTTTCAACAGTTAACTAGTAGCTGATCTTTTTTCATCTCTACACTCACTCTCTTTCCCTCCTCAGCATTTGAGCAAATTTTGGCCATCATATAATTCCAGCCACAACTATTTCAGACAATGAGCCTTTAAAATATATACATATATGAATATATATATATGTACACATATAAAAATCATAATACCATTTTCACACTCTAGTCAGTGTTTAAATGTTCCCGGTTGTCTTATAAATGTGTATATGTGCATTTTAAATTGGTTCTTCAAGATCCAAAGACCAAAGGGCATACAATGAATTTGGTTGAAAATCTCTTTTAATCCACATTTGCTTGCTCACTTGCTCTCTTCCTTTCCTTCTCCTGTAGTTTCCCATTTTAGATTTTGCTAGTAATATCCTCGTGGTAATGTTTAGTAGTAATTCTTCTGTCCCCTGTGTTTCTGTTAGAATAAGGCTTGATCAGATTCAGGTTCAATTTCTGGCAAGAATACTTCCTGAGTAATGACACATAGTTCCATGAGGAAGCATGTAATGTCTGGTTATCTCTTTTATGATGTTATCAACCATTGATAACATAATGAATCATCACCCAGATCCATTATTTCTTTTGGGTTTTGTAAAATAGGGATACTTAATTCTGTTATTTTTTCTTCATATATTAGTTGGAATTCTTCTATGAAAAATAATGTTACCTCATGATTAGTGAATTATTTGGTTCCCTGAGGTACAATTTGTACAGGAAAGACAGGTTATTTATCAGCTTTATTTATTAGCTTTAAAATAATGATTTCATTCCCCAGCATCCTCCAAGGTAACCAGTGAGATTTTTAAATCCCTATGCACTTATATATTTTAACATATTTAATGTGTTTCAGTCCATTTCAGTTACTATTTTTTATGACTAAATTATCCTGCCAATGGAAGCCTCTTTAGAGAGTTTCCTTTGAACATAGTCCCATTAGTTTCATTAGTTCTTTGTTCTCTTATATGGTAAGACATTTTAGGCTAATTGGTACATTTCCTGGTCTAAATATGGAATCAGACCAGTCATGGTGGCTCACACCTGTAATCCAGGTGATATGGGAGGCCAAGGTGAGAGGATCACTTGAGGCCAGGAATTCAATACCAGCCTGGGCAACATATCAAGATCCTGTCTTTAGGAAGTGTTTTAAAAATTAGCTGGGCATTGTGGCGCAAACCTATATAGTCTTACCTGGGAGGCTGAGGTGGGAGCCTTGCTTGAGCCCAGGAGTTCTAGGTTACAGAGAGCTATGTTTACATCACTGTAGTACAGCCTGGGTGACAGACTGAGACCCTGTCTTAAAAAAATAAATAAATAAAATAAATATGAAATCAGTTATTTCTCTAGAGTCCTGTTTTTTTTTAAGTGGGAAATGATATTTAGAGATCATAGTCTGAACACTAAAGGTGTTCATTACTACTGGCTGCCCATTGTGTTGGTGATAGGAAAATAGGGTTTAGTCAAGAGCCGCAGCCTGAGGAGGTAGAGGATTATTGTCTCAAAGGCCATCTCAAATTCCTCAGGCTGGCTGAAGGATTTTAAAGGGAAAGGAGTTCTGGAAAACTAGGGACAGGAGCTGGCTGTGTGTAGGTCGTCATATCTTGTTCCCACAGTTATTGTGAGTGGTCTGGGTGGCGTCAGTCAGCTAGCCCGCAGCAGAATTGAAGGTTAACTGTTCAGCACTTTTCTCCAGGGGCAGTCCTGTAATCTTGGTTTCATGGTTACTTGTTCAAGGCCAGTTCCTGGGATTCTTAAGCAGGCACACAATTAGGCATTGTAAAAGAAAAAGTTACTAGTTAGCTTTAAGATGGTGGCTCTTTCTGTTACACCTCCCATGAGATGGCATTAATCTGTTCCTGAACGATCTGTCCCCATGACCCAAACACCACCCACGAGGCTGCTGCACTGGCAATTAAAGATCAACATGAGTTTTAGTGGGGACAAGCCACATCCAAACCATAGCAGGCATATTAATCCTTTATCTGTGATATGAGTTGCAAATATTTATTTCTGAGTTTGTCGTTTGTATTTTCCCTTTGCTTAGATTTTTAAATTGTTTCAATTTTGGTTTTGCCTTGTTAAAGCTTTTAAACAATTTTATGTAGTCAAAAGTGATCAATCATTTCCTTAATACTTCTACATACTGACTTACAGTTAGAAAAGTTTTCTTTGGCCGGGCTTGGTGACTCTCGCCTATAATCCTAGCACTGTGGGAGGCCGAGGCATGTGGATTGTTTGAGCTCAGGAGTTCAAAACCAGCCTGAGCTAGAGCGAGACCCCGCCTCTCTACTATAAATAGAAAGAAATTAATTGGCCAACTAATATATATAGAAAAACATTAGCCAGGCATGGTGGCGCATGCCTGTAGTCCCAGCTACTCTGGAGGCTGAGGCAGGAGGATCACTTGAGCCCAGGAGTTTGAGGTTGCTGTGAGCTAGGGTGACACCACGGCACTCACTCTAGCCTGGGCAACAAAGGGAGACTCTTTCTCAAAAAAAAAAAAAAGAAAGAAAAGTTTTCTTTCCTCCCAGGTTATAGAGTAATTCACTTGTGGTTTTTTTTTTTTTTTTTAGACAGAGTCTAAAATTGTTGGTTTGTTTTTTCTACTCATGGTAAATACACAGAACATAAAATTTACCATCTTAACCATTTTTTTTTTTTAATTTAATTAAAAAAGGGCCAAACCACGTGGCTTTATTATACACTCATGGACGAGGTTCTGGGGCCCCAAGAGCGGGGCCCCGGAAGTCGCCCCATCTTAACCATTTTTAAGTGTAAATATGTTCATAATGTATTTACACCAGGAGCATCTCCATAACTCTTCATCTTATAAACCTGAAACTCTGTACCCCTTAAGAGTAACTTCCCATTCTCCCCTCCCTTTATCCCCTGGCAACTGCTGTTGACAATACCATTCTTTTGTTATCTCTGCTTTGTATGTTTTAGTGCCTGGTATGCTAGGTGCCCCTCTCCCCAACCCATCTTGCTTTGTCATGGTTTTCCTGGCTACTTGTGCTTGTTTGTTCTTTCTAATGAACTTCATCAATTTTTGTAGCTCTACAACTAAAATAGGTATTTTTATTGATATCATGTTAAATTTATTAACTCAGGAAGAACTAACATTGTTACAATGATGTTCAGTTTTGCTAAGAACGTGATATCCCTTTATATTTGTTCAAGTCATATTAATATTTTATATCTTTTAGGAGTGCTTTATAAGTTTCCTCCTGTAAGATATCAGACATTTGTTAAGTTTAAGCTTAGGTATTTTTTTTTCATATTTTGTAATTGTAACTATCTTTCTTTTACATATTTCCTATAATTATGGATTTCTGTTTACATATATGAACACTATTGATTTTTATCTCTTGATTCTTATTATATGCCACTTTAGTAAATTATCTAATAGTTTTTCTAGATGTATTCTTGTATCATCTGTAAATTGAGATAGATATTTGTTCCTTCTGGCCAGCTAACTTTCGGGCCCCCTAGTTTATTTATAAATATTTATAAATATATATATATATATATATTTTTAATTTATTTTATTATTTTTTGGAGACAGAATCTTGCTTTGGTTGCCCGGGCATGAGAACAGTGGTATGATCATAGCTCACTGAAACCTCAGATTCCTGGGCTCAAGTTATCCTCCTGTCTCAGTCTCCCGAGTAGCTGGGACTACAGGTGCACACTGCCATGCCTGGCTAATTTTTCTATTTTCAGTAGAGATGGAGTCTCGGTCTTGGTCAGGGTGATCTCAAACTCTTGACGTCAAGCAGTCCTCCTGTCTCGGCCTCTCAGAGTGCTAGGATTATGGATGTGAGCCACTGTACCTGGCTTGTTTTTATTTTTTTTAAGTCAAATTTGTTAATATATAATTTGCACATGCAGAAATTCACCCTTTTTAGGTTTATAGTTTAATAAAGTTTGAGAAACTTATATAATCATGTTGCTGCCATCACAATCAAAATATAGAATATTTCCATCACTCTTGTGCCTCTTTGTATCAGTTTTCCTCCTAACTTCCAATCCTTGGCAACCACTGATTTTGTTTCTTTTCCTATAGTTTTACCTTTTCCAAAACATCATATAAATGGAATCATACATAGAGCCTTTTGACTCTGGCTTCATTCACTTACTATAATGCCTTTGAGATTAATACATGTTGCACGTTTCCGTAGTTTGTTCCTTTTTATTGCCGAGCAGTATTCCAATGTATGGATATGTGATATTTAT